GGAATAAACTAAATTCAAAAATAATACTTAATCCTCATCCCAACCCAATTTGATAGAGGCGTGTGGTCCCAAATGGATAGAGACCAAACCAATACAAAACTCAGGACAAGGGGGCCCTTTTGTATCTCTTTCAATGAGGATTGACTCAATTGATAACACTCATTATTTAGGTTGTTTTATTGATTACTTAGAAGTAGCATTTTCGTTCCCATTTCTTTTCACCTCTAATTATTATGAACAATTGGACTTGCTAAAGAAAAAGTAACTTGAATATAAATTATATGCAAAAATAAAAAAAAATAAAAATCAATAGAGGATAATTAACCAAACAAGCAACAATGACTTTGTTTTCATTATCCCAACTCCGACCTTGGCAAATGAAAGTAATTTTAAATTAACTAGTAGAAGTGAAAAACTGGTTAATTCACTTTCTTCATGTCATTATACAGCTTGATGATATTTCTTCATAAAATATTTCTCTTCAAATGACCAGAATAAATCTAACATCTGTTTGGGCTCCATTTTATTTAAAATGCATTTTTCTCTCTTCTTTTCAACAACACATTCTTCAATAGAATAATATTACACTTAAATTCAAAAAATTTCATTCTTTATTAATCACACGTTTTTCAAAAATCACCATTCCAAGTTACATTTTTTGCCCAAAAATTAACTTTAATGGAGCCCAAATGGAAATGTTTTTCAAAAGCCATTCCACTGAAAGAATACTTTTGTCTAACTTTATATTCTACCAGGAAGAGGAGGAAAGTGTACAGCAAAGTAAAGATTGAGAATCAAACGTAAATAATTAATATAGTACAATTTAAAACAGTTATGAAATTGTTGATTTTCCACATGGCGTTGATTTAATAAATTAACTTGTAGAAGTGGAAAAGTGGTTCAATCACTTTCTTCATGTGATTAAAAACTTATCTTTCTCCGTGTAATATTTCTATTCAAATGGCCAAAATGAATCTAAGTGGAAATATCATTTCTGTTAACATATTTTTGAAAATAACAAGTGAGGCCCATAATACAACTTCAACAACCCACTTTATATTTGTTGCCAACAATATACTTGATTGCTCCATCGTATTATAAACGCCTGTCAATTAAATAAAGTTTTTCATAAGGTTGTGGTAAAAAAATGTTAAGTATAGTTTTTTATGTCATCTTCTTACTTCCATATTGATAAATCGACAAATTACTTAAAATATAATGGACCAAAAAATAAAAACAAAA